ACATTTGGCGCGTTTACAGAATTCCGTATCATTACGCGATCGCCTATCTTAATGCGATTTTCTATTTACGAGCATTTAATTCATACGCATCTTGCGCTTGCTTGAGATGTTCACTTGCAACGTTGCACACTTCGGTTAAATTCCAAGAAGGATTTATTATTTCTTTGAATTCTAGCGTCTCTCTCATCTACAACACTTCCTCCAAAAAGTAACATACTAGAATTCTCACTTGTAGTTCTACTAACTTATTACAAACAAACTCTACGTCGGAATGGACTTTATACTAATGTGTTTTCCGTTCGTCAGCCAATTCGACTATCATTGGTGTAATCATGCGGTTCATCCATTCTACTTACTCATTTGCTTATGGTGAGGCACTACTTTTTTGACATGATATATATTATACTTATCCAGAAATTCAGCAAATAATTGCGAAGTAAAACAGCTTAAGAATCTGAAAAGATTCTCAATGGTTTGCTGTAAGTTGTGAAATGTTTTTGTAAATCTATAACTTAATTTGACCTGGTTGTCTTAGTAGCGTATAACTTTAAAAATTTAAAACCATCCACTAACAATTAACAATATATAATATAATATAATTAATTAATATAAACAATATATATATTTGCATTTCGTGGAATGACTTTTAGATATTGGACCTAAAATCAAGATCAATATGCAAATCACTAAATGGTTTATCCCCTTTGGGAATACTATGAACCAATCTTTCTACCTTGCCTGACGAAACGGAAAAAGCAATACATTTTAGACAAGTTTTAATGTCCTCAATTTTCTCTTTCATTTGCGGAAACCAATAACTGCGTCGAATATTTTCTAATACTTTAATTAGTTCGACATAGTCTAACTCGTCATGATATTCATGCATTATTTTATTTTCTATAAAAAAAGGAACATAAAATTGAACGTGGTCTTTCACTTTTCTGTAAACTATTCCGTCACGCATTTCGAATAAACAATCATTCTTTTTCTCTAATTCTTAGTAACATTTACAATGTAGTTTAACAATGTTTTCATCAATGTCTTGACTCAAGGCTAGGTTCCGATCAAAAGAATTATTCTCTAACGTGAGTATATTCACGTTTCTACTTAATGCGTCTACGTGTGACATTCTGGTTCCCGGTCGATGCTCAAGATTATAATCATATATAAGCTTGCTTTTCAAGAACCCATTGAGCAATTCGTGAATTTGTGTCCTTCTTATTTACTGTTTGTGCAAGAGTTTCACAATTGGTAACAATTTTAAACTTTATTCCTTGTAAGTACGAGGGCAAGTCAATAAGTTTTTAGACAAATATAGTAAAACACATTTTTTTTTATCGATTCATTTTTATTTCTCAACATAGTCTCCTTTCAGCTCGATACACTTGATCCAGCTTTTTCAAGCCGTCCGAATAATATGATTTGTTCAACCCTTCAAAATAAGCCTCGGTTTCGGCGATGAGCTGCTCTCTGGTGATAAATCTCTTTCCTCCGAATCATTTCTTCAGATTTGGAAACAGGAAATAGTCGCAGGGGACTAAATCTGGCAAATATGTTGGATAGGGAAGCAATTCGTAGCAGAATTCATTGAATTTGGCCATCGGGCATGTGTGAATCCATGCATTGTCTTAATGGAAGAGCACTTTCTTCTTCGCCACACGTTTTTTTTTTAAATATTGTTGAAACGGTCCAGCAAGGCTGCGTAGTAATCGCCATTAATCGTTTGCTTCGACGAAAGGTAATCGATATGAATTATACCGTGTGCATCTCAAAAAACTATGGTCATCACCTTTCCGGCCGATTTCACGGTTTTCGCCTTCTTCGGAGCTGGTTCACTCGGTGAAGTCCATTGTTTTGATTGTTCCTTCGTTTCGGGTAAAATAATGGATCCATATTTTGTCCACAGTAATGAATCGACGTAGAAATTCATCTGGATTACGTTGAAATATCTCTAAACATTGTTTTAAAATCGCACGATCGCGCTTATGATCCACAGTGAGCAAACGCGGCACCCATCTTGCCGATAGCTTTTTCATATCCAATTGTTCGTGCAAAATTGAAATCACTGTGCCATGCGATATGCCTGTGGCCTCAACAAACTCGCGCACTTTCACGCCAATCAGACAAAATAATATCGTGGACTTTATCGATGATTTCTGATGTAGCAACCTCAATTGGATGTCCCGAACGAGGTGTATCACATGTGAATGTATGACCACGTTTAAATTCATTCACCCAATTGTATACAGTCGCAAACGCTGATGCAGATGTGCTAACATCATCCAACTCGGCTTTGATTTCTTTCATACGTTAAATCTTTCATATGTAGATGTTTGATTATTGCACGAAACTTGTTTTTTTCCATTTTGCAAAAAATACAAAAGTTGTTCGCTTTAATCGTCTACAGAAATGAAACCACGTGATGAATTTCGCTCAAAATTTGACAGTAATCAGCTGAAAGATGCTACTTGTCAAAAAGTAACATGACACTGGGAGTGCTCTCTGACAAATTTTCTAAGAATTTATTGACTTGTCCTCATATATATGAAACCGTTTCAATGCATAAATAATCGCAAGAGTTTCCAACCCGAAAACTATGATATTTTGATTCTGATGGAGTTGTTCTTTTCAAAAAATAAAAAATTGGATGGAATTCACGATCTTCTTTCTTCTGCACTAAAATAAATCCAAAGTGCCAAAACCCAAAGTGCTAGCATCACAATAGAGTTCAGTCTCAGCAAGAGATGAATAAATTGAAAGGACCGGCGCATTGATTAATCTGTCTTTAAGCATCTGGAACGCATTATGTTCATTTTCCTCGTAATGAAATGGAACGTGTTTCTTAACTAATTCAGTGGTTTAGCTATCAATGAAAAGTTTTCCATGAATTTCCGAAAATAAGAACACAAACCTAGAAAACTTTAAACTTTATGAACATTGTGTGGTTTCGGAAAATTCTGTACCGTAGTTATATCACGATCACAGTGAAGAAACTGTACCTTCTTCTGAAACAGTGTAACCTAAATACTCTAATTTAGTCTGCAGAAATCTACATTTGTCAATTCTGAGTTGTAATTTGTACTTAACCAATAAATGGAATATTTCTTTAAATATTGCAAAATGATGTTCTATAGTTGCTGTAACAATTAAGAAGTCGTCTAAATAAATCGCAACATCCCCGAATTCTATCAGTTCGCGAAAAATTTCTGTGACAAAATGTTGAAACTTCAGGGGTGCTCCCTTAAGACCGAAGGGCATTTTAAGGAACTCGTACTGGCCCAAAGGTGTAACAAATGATATTAATTTTATCGAATCCTCGTGCATGTTCACATGAAAGAATCTGTCTTAAAAGATCTAGTTGGTCTTTTATCAATGATAAAGGAAAGTTGTCACGTGCCGTAATCTTACTAAAATCAACATATAATCTTAATTTATCATTCCGTTTTTTGGTTAAGACGATTGGTGCGTATTCCGATTCGCTTGGTCTAATCATTTCTGCTTTTTGCCATCGTTCTAAAATAATTTTTAATTTAGTTTTTTCGCAAGATAACCTATGGGAAGTACAACTAAAAGATTTATTGACGGTTAATATAAGTTTCATGATATTCTCAGTTTTAGGCTTCTCCGATCTAAGAGGTTCAACATAACATTCATCAAAATTTCATCAAAACAATTTACACAATTGATGTTTAATTGTACTCGGCATACTATCATTAATTATAATTTTTTGTGAGTCTTGTACATTATTACATTCTTCTATTTCAATGGCTAAAATTTTATTAACCTTATTAATTTCAGATCTCCTTTGGAATGTTAATTTCGAGATTCTCACAAAATCTTTACCAAGTACTAAAGAAATATTCATTGTTTCATTTCCCAACAACATAAACGTTAAGTGGATTCGCTTAGAAAACAACTTATAGAAATTAGACCTAAAGCATTTAATTTACTGTTGTTAATATCACAAAACATGTGGATTAAAAACATGTGGACACTAATGGATTTTATAGAAAACATAATCTTTAAATTAGCATCCTTAACATGTTTTTCCTTAATAAAACTAATGGAGCTGCCTGTATCAATTAATGAAGCTAACTCTATATTACAAATATTATTATGACGAATTCGAATCTCTAGTATTCGCTGAAACTCATTCTCAGGTTGAAGATCAGTAATATATTTCTTCTTTTGGAGTGTTGCATTGTCCGATGAGGTGTCCAAATTTGTCGCAACGATAACACGAACCTCTTTTGTTTAGGACGTTTATGTTGTAAAACGACCAACTTCATTGCAGTTAAAGCAACGATTTCTCACGCCTTCCTTTAATTCGTGACTTTCCTTCTCTTTCTCTTTCCTGGACTGATGAATCATTCTATTTCCGAACATGTTGCTTTTTAAGATTAAAAATCGAAAATGTCTCAAGTAACTCAGCTGTTATAAGCTTGAGCCTAGGTTCATTTATGAAATGCCATCCACTAAATAATCAATTAATTCGTCTTCAGAAATTGGAATCAAATTTCCTAACGTAATATTGTCATGCAAATATTCAACGAAAGTTTCAGATGTTCTCCATTTCTTTTCCTCGAATTTGCGTCGAAATTGTAATTTACTAAATCGTAAATCATTTTCCATAATTCTTATAATAAATCCTCAGCATCTAATTCTATACAATCGGTTTTTGAATAATACAATATCATTTTAACTTGTTACATATTATAGTCTTTTTCTCTGTATCATCTAAATTATAGGTTCGTATTAAGTGCTTAATTTGTCTTTCTCAAGTATCATAATCTCTATCATTACCGTCAAACTCTCTTATTAAATCCTTTATATCCCTCAATCTCATATTGTTTCATCTATCGTTTGAATCTTCGCTATTCGTCAATTGACTGGTACGTAATAATTCTATCTCTCTTCGCAAAAGCTGTAATTCACGTTCCGCTAAATCTTTTTTGCGGCATAATTTCCATATCACGTTGCGTAAGATTTAATGTGCTTACCGGAGCTTGAACGGTATGTCGTTGCCCATCCTCTGCCAAAGTATATGTTTTTTCTATGTGTTCATCTGACTCTTCATATTGCTCGACTGCATCCATATCATCACCTCCCGCGTCTAAATATCTCTTCATAAGTTCGGCCTTGTTTCCTATTGATGTAAGGAAACCATTTCGCGTAATTGCCGCTTCAAATCCGTCACTCTGTCACTCAAATCTGTCATATTAACTGCGTTATCAGTCATAATTACGGCCGATCCGCTTTCATAAATTGTAGCGTCCTCAAATACGAATCCCACTTCTGACAAGACATCGTTTTCTCGTTTCCAATAAAAAGCTTAATTTTAGGAACGCAAAATACAAAGCTGTATTTTTTAAGCGTAATGGTTTCACAAAACAACTTCAAAATGTCATAACATATTAAATCAATAATTCCACGTCAAAGCACACTTTTGCACCTAATTTCATAACATACATTGTTTTAAACCGCGGATAGTTTATAATATTTTCTACAACTTCTATATATATGAATCAAAATTCAATTTTTATTCAAAAAAAATTTATGTTAAATATATTTCTTTATTTATGAACATGGATCTACATCCGGAGTCAAATTCAGATCCGAATCTGAATTTAGATCCGGATTCAAATTCAGATTCGCGGATCCGAATAATCCGGATATCCGGAATAACGGTTTTGAGTTCTAGGATCGGAATCGATTTCGGATATCCGAATACTTAGAAGATCCAATAAACAGTAAAGAAACAATAGTTAGATTGGCTACTGCTTACGTTATGATCTTAAGAATTCTACTGTGATTGGTTAACAATTCGCTTATTGCTTAAGTTTTACTGCTGAAGTTTTTTGTACCATGACCTTAAGGCTAATTCTACAATGTGCTTTTTGTTTTCTGTTTCTTGCTATTTGTCTCTATTTGTTTCTTGCCTTTTTAGTCAATAAGACAAGAGACTAAGTCCCCGATAAAACATTTTTCATGCACAAATATATATAAATATGTATAAACATACATAAATACGCATAAATATTCATAAACATGTATGATTATATATGAAATATGTCTATACATGTTCATACATTTTTCTTTCTTTTGTAAAATTACTTTTTAGTGTAATAGAAATAATAGTAATGTGAAAACACACATAAAAAATAACACAAGCCTGCAAAATTGGAAGTGTTGAAAGTTGAATGGAAATTTAATAATGTTTTCTTACGTAATTTTCGCGCTAAATCCAAATCCAGCTTCAGAATTATTCTATTACGTCAAGATTTCGAGATATCTTAATCCAAAACTGCCAAAAAAGCCATTTTCGGCCATATTTGAAATTCAATTAAAAATTTAGAAAGTTTTTGTCGTCTAATCCATCAAAAGTATCATTTACTACTATACGGCTCCTTCCAAATCCATTTTGAACCATTTCAAAGCGATTTTTTTTCCAAAGATATACCAATTCGAAGTTCGATAAATTATACATCGTAGGAGCCTAATCCTTAACAAGGGAACCGTCGGATCCGTTCCTTACCAATTTTGATGGGCTTTGAATACGTTGTAGAGTATAAAAAAATATTAGACTTATATTTTTTTTTAATCAGCATATCTTAAGATTTGGGGGATGAAAATTAATTGAGTGGGGATGGGGGAAAGTTAAAAAATTTGATATTTAAAAAAAGTGAATATATCATTATATAGAACACAAAATCATCATAAAACTTTTGTATTAAACATTTTTTAATATATCGCATAGTTTCGAAGATATTTACTAAAAACGATAAATCCATTTTTTTCGATGAGGTGTTTAGGGGGTGAAAATTAATGAATTGGATTGGAGGAAAATTAAAAAAAAAATTTTTAATATGTCATTGTAATTGTTTTAATGTAGACGTAACATTGAAAATGACCGGATGGAATGTCTGTATTTTGATTAGTTAAATATAATGTTTAATAATTTATAACAATAACGAGGAATATCTTGCTTGTGCTCTGAACCCTTTAACAGATTATTTTAATTTATTTAATTGAGCATTGATTTACTTTTCATAAAATTAAAAACATTTGATATTTAAAAAAATGAACACACTATTATGTAGAGCACAAAATACCATTTTGTATTAAACATTTTTTGATATATATAGTTTCGAAGATATTTGCTAAAACCGATAAAATCCATTTTTTTTTATGGGGTGTTTCACCTCCTAAACCTTAAGATACACTGATAAAAAAAATATGAGTTTAATATTTTTTTATACTCTACAACATATCCAAAGTCCATCAAAATCGGTGAAGAATGACTTCGACGGTTCCCTTGTAAGACAAACTCCCCGGCCAGTGAAGACAAGGTGGATGATTCCCTGGCCAGTTAAGTTGCTTTTACAATAATTTATGAAATCTTTTTCTTTTTTCATCAAAATTACGTGAATTACAACGTCGTTTGTGTGATGCGTTCTTCTCATCACGTTTCAAACTCCAGCAGTCATCACCTACCTACATTGCTGAGTTCCACCTGCCTTGATATCTTCTTTCAATCTCCTTCATATCTTGATGGAATCATTCTCCTTGTTCTTGACTGACGTCTCCCAGATTTGCGGGGAAAAATTCCAAATGAGAATAAAGAAAATGCACTCATGTTACAATCTAATTTCTTGAAGTTATCTAGCATGGTTTGAACTAGATCTTTGTAATTAGCTTCCTTTCGATTCCCTAAGAATCCTTTAATGACTGCTTTGAAATTTAACCATGCATTTTTCTCATTGAGATCATTGTTTCAAAATGTTCATCTTTTATTAGTCTTCTAATATCTGGACCAACAAAAATACCTTCTTTAATTTTCGCTTCGCTTTTCATTAAAGATGGAAACTGTTGTTACAGATATCGAAAACAGTTACTTTCTCGATTCAGTGCTTTTACAAATTCGCTTCATCAGCCCAAGCTTTATATGCAGGGGAGGCGACAGACCATTATTTCGGTCGATCAGCGTGTTGAATAATATTATGCGAACCTATTTCTAATTTTTCTTTCAATGGCCAATCTTTTTTTATCCAGTGTAGATCTTTCGCTCTGCTGTCCCATTTGCATATAAAGCACGGGAATTTAGTATAACCTGTTTGTTGTCCAAGAATCATTCCAATAACTTTTAAATCACCACAAATCACTTTCCAATTATGTTCATCATACCTCATTGATTGAAAAAACAAATTCATGTTGGTGTACGACTTCAGATGTGCCGAATAAACAATGGGCATATCTATTGCCATTTATGTAAAAGCACACCTTTCAAGCTTCTTTTCAAGAAATCTATGAAAAATCTCCAATCCGCACTGTTAATCTTAATTCTATATTCATCCAACAAACCCGAGACATCGTACAAAATACTAAAGAATCCTTTTCGGTGAAAAACCATGAAAACTCTTTTTCGCGGGATCTACGAAAAGCATGTTTTTGAAAGAAGAAGATTACGCTCTTTTAACCAGAGTCTAAAAGTTCAGCTTTTTCTTTTGATAGATCTAAATCCCTGACTGAATCATTCAATGCAGCTTGATCATACAACCGCGGAATCGTCTCTAAATCATACATAACATTGTCATCTTCATTAATAGCTTGTCCCTCATATTGAAAATTTTCCTGAGATGTTCCCGTCTTAGAAGAACAGGTAGTAGATCTATGGAGGAATTTGGAATCGGCTTTGTTATCGGATATTGTATAAAATCTTTATTCGTACTATTGTAACCAAATACATTGCAGAAGTAGCACTCATCGTGATTCTTTAGTTCTTGCCAGATCATCGGTGTACTGAAATATTTCGGTTTACCAATATACCATGATCTTAAGGTTTTCACACAAGATTTACATGATTTGTGCGGAACCCAACTCTTATCCTGATGTGCAATTCCACGATGAAAGTAATTATAATACCTCTCTTTTAATGAATCAGTTAAGAAAGTAAATTCTTTGAGACCATATATTTTCCACAAATATAGCAGAACCGATCAGGATTATTGACACAAACTTCTTAGAAATCGCGAAAATTAATGAAAAAAATCAAAAATTAGAAAAAGATCTTTGAAAAAGTATATAAAAACTGCAAGTGAATATATGAACATTTTCCAGAGAACGAAGAAGGGAGCTTGGGAAGGAGCAACAGATGAATGAAAAATGAAAAATGTTGGAATAGATACGATCAATACGGGTCAATATGCTACGTAGAGTATTGGGCTTGAAATGCGCATTATGGAGTTAAATATATTTCTTTAGCAAAGATCTATTTATAAACCGGATCACGATGTGGACCCGGTGTCATTTATCCCCAAGCGGCGCGCGAAGCAGTGTCGCGCAAAAAGAAGAGTCAGCTAATCTGTCCAGAAATACCATTTATTCTAATACAACAGTATAGATTAAGTTCCTACGATGTAGAATTTATTGAACTTCGAATGGGTATATCTCCTCCTAAGAAAAAAATCGCTTTGAGTTCAAAATGAATTTTGAAGGGACTTTATAGTAGTAAATGATACCGTTGATAGATTAGACAAAAATTTTCTCAATTTTTAATTGAATTTCAAATACGGCCGAAAATGGCTTTTTTTGGCAGTTTTGAGTTAAGATATCTCGAAATCTTAAAGTGATAGAACAATTTTGAAGCCGGATTCGAATTCAGCATGAAAAATTAAAAAAACATTGTTAAATACCAATCAACAAAACCATGTAAAAATTTTTTATGTATAATTGTATATAAAATTATGTATAATTTTGATGAGCAATTTTTTTTACATTCTTTAAATGTATGAACAATTTTTTTTTACATTTTTTCAAACTTAATTTTTCCTAAAAAAAAAACAAAAATTATCTCTTTAATTATTTTTTATGTTTTTACATTACTATTATTATTTCTATCACACTAAAAAGTAAGTAAAGAAAAAAGAAAAAAGAATGTATAAACATATATGGACATATTTCATATATAATTATACATGTTTATGAATATTTATGCATGTTATGTATGTTTATACGTACTTCTACATATTCATACATGAAAAATTTTTTACCGGGCATTATACAAGTAGATAATATTAGGTTGGTGCATATGAAATGTCGGATTTTCTTTACATATGAACGTTTGTCTCCCTATTTTCATTATGCTTTTGTTTTTGGCATAACCTCGTTTATAGTCGTATTATCCATTGTCAGAGTCACATTTCAATAAAGAAGATTTTCTCAAAAGTGTTTCATTTTGTTATTTGTTTTGAATTTCGTAAGGATATCAATTCAACCGATATTCATGTAATTTTTTTATATCAGTATAAATTTGGTAATAATGCTGCAAAAACTGCACGCAATATAAACCAGGCATTTGGGGAGAATACTGTTAACGATCGAAAAGTGTAGCGTTGGTTTGAAAAATTTCGGTCTGGTGATTTTTCTCTACAAAATGAACCGCGTGGAAGACCCAAAACGTCTGTGAAAAATGATGCTCTGAAAGCATTGGTGGAAACGAATCCAACTGTATCTACAAGGGAACTTGGTACCAGAATGAAAGTTGACCATACAACGATATTGCGACACCTTTCTGAAATTGGCAAGGTGAAAAAAATGGATAAATGGGTACCGCACGAACTAACCGAGCGAAATAAGCTGAATCGATTGAACGTATGCTCATCATTACTAACCCGATTTCATCGAGAGCCATTTTTCGATCGGATTATTACTTGTGAAAAATGGGTTCTTTACGACAATTGGAAAAGATATGCTCGGTGGCTTCATGGGAATGAGGCTTGTGCTCATACTACTCCAAGGCCATCACTTTATCCACGGAGAATTTTAATAACAGTTTGGTGGAATGTGACTGGAGTAATTCGTTACTCATTCTTTCAAACTGGGGAGACAATTACAGCCGAAAAGTATTGCCAGTACATTGATGAAATGCATGAAAAATTGAAAATTATACACCCATCACTTGTTAATCGGCATGGCCCAATACTTCTCCACGACAACGCTCGGCCGCATACGTCGTACAAAACAATTGCGAAATTAAATGAATTAAAATATGAAATTTTGCAGCACCCAGCTTATTCACCGGATCTTTCGCCAACCGACCTTCATTTTTTTAAACATTTAGAACAGTTTTTACGGGCTAAACAGTATGAAAATGAAGACAGAAAATGAAGACTGAAAAATTCCAGAGTATATTGATCCAATATCAGAGTTTATTGATTCTAAAAATCAGAATTTCTTTAAGACAGGCATCTATGCATTAAAATCTCGTTGGGAAAAGTATATTGAAACAAATAGAGCATATTTTGATTAAATAAACAGCTTTTGAAAAAAGATATGCAGTTTTATATATTCACTTAAAAATCCGATATTTCATACGCACCAACCTAATACTTTACGTGCAAAGTACAATTCACATATTTCTTAGTAGAAGGAGAAATAGGATTGATCCAGTAATTAGTTAAAATTGTAGGATCTAGATTTTAATTTTTTATTTGATACATTTTTTTTTCTGAGAGTAGTAATTTTTGACAGAGAATGAAAGTTGCTATTACTAGGGTTGAAATAAAAAGAACTTCAATAAAAATATCTTTGAAAAAAAATTCAAACTACTATTAATTAGGTTGAATACTTAGATTTTATTCAAGAAGCACATTTTCTTAGCACCTTTTTAATAACATCTACCTTATTTAAACATATAGGGACGTTTTCGGATTAAATTGTATAGATTCATATAAATCATCCAGTCGCTTATTTTATATTAAATAAGATAATGAGATAGAAAAGTTTGAGTATATACAGTTAATTTTATTGTACAAATAAAATAGGATACAAAATAATACAACTTTACGGCTTTTTTATATATGCTGAAATCTACAAAATAATTATTCAATGATTTGAAAAATGTTACATTGTATATTGCCAACAATAGAATACGATAATTTTTCTATAACGTCTTATTCAAATATAGGAACATATTTAAATTAAATTATATAGGTTCGTATAAACATCCTTTTGTTTATTAATCTGGTTTAATAGTGATAGGATCATATAGAAAGGCTTGTGATTTCCGATAGTATTCTATTGTTTATTTAATATAAGATATAAAACGACAGAAATTTATAATTTTTTTATCTGTCGTGATTTTAATGTCCGATAGGTACGATAGGTCCTCAAAAAATTATATAGGATTTCTATCAGGTTTCTATAAATTTCTATCGGTTTTTATTGGATATTTTAAGCAGGGTCGGTAATTACGGTTTGGGAAGTAAAAGAGGTTTAGGCTGGAGATGCAATTCGAAAATAAACTCGTATTTAAGAGAATGAAATGAAACTGTCTTCGTTATGCGCGAGTATACTGTATAATATAGTAATATTTTGCAGTCACGTCGTGACGGCAGGCTGTGCTCACTGTAGTTTTACTATCAGTATTCAATATAGTAAGCCGTATTATAGTATTGCCGCGATTTCGCTGTCACAATGTGGCATCAGATTGTATTTAATTTCTGCTGTCTTTCTGCTATTAGTATTGGCAAACTTTGTCCGATATTTGCTACGTATTTGCTGTCACGGTATTTGTAGCAAAGAATGCTCGAGTTTTATTGTATTTCTGCTGTTGTTCTGCTGTTGGCAGATTATGCTGTTAAAAACTAAACTTAATGAAGAAGCAGCAGCTTGATATGTACTGTAATGTCATAATAAAGTTTGATAATTTATTGCTGACATACTGCTAGTATTTTGCTATCTGAATATATATACATATATATATACAGGATGATTCAAAATGAATATATTGTCCTCAAAATATCATATTCCTGATTTAATTCTAAGACGACTTTTCCTTTGCCAAAATTTTGTCAAAAGCGTATTTTTTAAATTATAATAAGAAATAATAGCGAACGACGGGGTGCGTAGAGAAGGTAGCCAGGAGTGGCGTTTCTCACTGTCCGAAACAGACGGTACCCTTGTGATCAGACGATCGCCACACACGCATGCATATGAGATCGCATTCTCTCTCTCTCTCTCTCTCTCTCACACACACACACACACACACACACAAAATTACCCTGAAAAAGTTTGATGACTTGCTTCGATAACATGCTGCAGCTTGAGAACCAAGAAAAACTTCCATATCATTAATGAATCACATACAGCTTCAAATATTTATGTCAGTTAAATTTCCATTCTTCTAACAAGTTTAATTTAGATATCACTCATTGATACAGAATGCACGCATTCGTTTCTTATAAAACGCATCATTTCGATATGTTTACGCACGATTGACGTACAGTTATTAATTTGAAAAAACGAAGTATTTTAATGATTACTCAAAAAATTTATTAATGTATCTCAGTTAAATGTCCGTTTTACTGATGGTTCATTTTAATTATTATCAATTAATCATTCGATGATCGAAAATCACTCGAAGAAAGATAATCACACGCCGCGTTTATTCGACGATAGCATGCACGATTTAATAGAGAATCTGTTAGTTAATTACTATAAATCACTGTCGATTAATTATTCGTCGACTGAATATCACTCGAAGAAAAAAGCATACGATTGTTTACTAATACATGACGCGTTCACTCAACGATAGAAAGAAGTCGACTGATTTTAATACTGAATCTCCAATTTATTATTATTTAATGTCGATTAATTATTCGTCGACTGAATAACACTCGAAGAAAGAAGCACACGATTGTTTACTAATACACGACATGTTCACTCAATGATAGCAAGCAGTCGATCGAATTCCATTACGCGTTG